GGCAACGCTTACCTGTCCCCGCGGTGCCACGCGTGCCCCCCGCGCACTCGGGCTGCGCGGTAGCTGCAGGGGCCGGCCGGGCGGCGGCGGGAGCGAGACAGCGGCTCCAGAGGCGTCAGTCAGGCTGGAGCCTCCTCCTCGGCCGCCCGCGTGAGTGCGCCGCGCTGGAAGGGCGCCAGGCGGCCGTGCGTGCAGCCCCAGCCAGGAGGGGGGCCGTGCGCCCTGGCCGCGCCAGCGCTCCCCGCCCCGCCGAGCCGCGCACCCGCCCGCCCTGCGCATCGAGCCTGCAGCTGGGTCTTCAGGGCCAGCGGGGTCTCCAGGTCATCCCCAGAAGTGTCCACCCAACTTGGAGCACAGGCAGCAGAGGGAGGGAGCCGTCCCCCTAGAGAGGCAGACAGGACCACCAACCATGTGCGTCTCCTGAGCTGCCTAGTCCTGGTCTCTGGAGGCCACACTTACTGGCTGGCTGTTCCTCTGAGGCATGGCTTGCACTGGCACCGGCCCAAGAAAATCTGACCCCCCCCCCCCCGCCTGAGTGGCGAGCAGAGTTTGAAACTAGTCCTGTCATAATGTAGGTTTTGTGATTTCTTATCCAGTGCATAATACATACTATCTAATCTACTCAAGATATACATCACAGGCACATGGAACCTTCCTGTCCAGCAGCCTAGCTGTCTCCTAGGTTGTCTGCCTCCCTGCCTCTTGGGGAGTGGCACTGGTGTACTGAGGACCTTTGATTCTCCACCAAACCTTACAGGTCTTCAAAGAAGCAGGGGATGGTATAGGCCACCTCAGGCAGCCCCAGTGTGCACACATCCTCCAAGAGGCCAAGGCACCTTTGAAACGTTAAGGAAAGCCCTTCAGCTGAACTTCTTTTCCTGATCCTAAAACCACCACTTTCAGGAACATGGTATTTTTGCCTCATCATCCAAGGGTAGACGAGGAGCGCCTTGCTTAAAACACATGGCAGAAATTTAAATGCCGCTTTAACTTCAAATTGAAAGTCTTTCTACACCTGGCTCCTATATCCTGCTGCAGCTAGGTTATTAGGTTATTAGACCTGGGAGAGAAAGACACTCCCAAAAGAAATACTGTCCGGTGATGGGGACTTCTGAAAGCTATGGACCGGATGAGGGCTGTGCCTTGTATGCACTTTGAGGCAAGAAAACTAATTATGTTCTCTGAGTTGACACCTTGTGGCTCAGGGTTTGTCCCCCACACTTTCTCTTCCAGAAGTGATACTATAGAAAGAAATGGGTCAATCAGCTTCCTCCTTCCAGGGGAGCACAAAGCCTTGGCAGACCTCTGCTGGTCCTGCTCATGCTTCTGTCACGGAGGAGGCTGTGAATTGACAGAATTCTTTTGGAGATAGGGGTGGGGCGGGCCTTTGACTGACTGTGTGTCCTCTGCCTTTTCTGGACTTTACTCCTTAAAGGTTAGGAAGATAAAACAATAAGATCTGGTAGGGTTCAAGAAAGAGTGAATACCAACCCTGGAGAAGATCACTCAGGGTGGCTGATTCTTTTGACTGTCCTGGTTATGAGAATCCTCATCTCTGATCTATCTTCTTCTGCCATTTTTTGATCATTTAATAGAACCATAATTCTCTTCCACCAAAGCGTTATGCTATGGAAATGCACAGGAAACCAGACTGTCAGCAGTTGTGATTTGGTGGTAATTCCCTCATAATTTTGGCTAGGGATCTGAAAACCACAGCTAAAATCTCCCTTTTCTGGGAGAGAACAGCTCTTGGGAAGATAGAGCTCCTTTGCCTGTCAGCTCCTCTGCCCCCATTTGTTTACAGCTGGGCTCTAAAGCATCCCCCAAGTCTATGTACGAAAAACCTGGGCTCCAATAGGTGCTGTTTGGGAAGTGGGTTTGTTAGGGAAGTCTAGCTTACTGACAACATAAAACTGAAGAGGATGTAGATGTCCCGGTTCCTTCTCTGGTTCCTTCACATGCTCCCAGCACAGGCCCAAACAAACAGGGCCAAATCTCAGAAACCAATCGCCAAAATAGCCTTTGCACTGCTTCAGTTGTCAGGGGTATTCAATGATAGTGACAGAAGGCTGCCTCACATTCACCATGATGGTCAGAAGATGCCCACCGTGGGCTTTGTATACATCTCTAGCACCTGTAGTTGGTCCAGCTTTGCAGTGGTTCTGCTCGAAGCTGTACCTATTCCCGGCCCACCTACTCCTTCCATTTGTCCGAATTGCTTTTACACGCTGTGACTGAAAACCTAAGAGCAGGGAGGTCAGCGAGGAAAGATTTATTTCCACTCTTGCCGTCCATTGTTGTGGAAAAGCACTGTGTTGGAAGCAGCCGGTAGCTGTGCAGCTGGAGCTGGAAGCAGCTGGTGGATGAATGGCCTATGGTGCTTAGCCTCTCCATGGCACATCTGACAACCACATCCCATTTCCCCCCTAATTTCAAAGCCTCCTGTTCTAGGTACTTTCTGTCGCTACAATAAAACACAGACTCAGACCAACCTGGGGATGAGAGTGTTTATTCCATCTCACAGCTTACAGTCCATCATGAAGGAACCTGGAAGCAGCAACTGAAGCAGAGGCCATGGAGGAAGGATGCTGACTGGCTCAACCCCCATGGCATGGCTCAGCCTGCTTTCTCTACAATCCAGGACCACCTGCCCAGAGGTGGTACCACCCACAGTCTGGGCCCTCCCACGTCAATCACAAATTAAGAAAATGCCATGGACTTGCCTATAGGCCAATCTAATGAAAGCATTTTTCCAACTCAGGTTCTCTCTTCCCAGATCATCCTAGCATGTGTCAAGTTGACAAAATCCTGACCGGCACCACCCAAAACAGGGGCAACCACTAGAGACAAGGTGTTTGAGCATGAGGCTAGAGGCTATAGGGACAACTTATAGTCAAGCCAGAGCAGACTCTTTCCTGCATTTCCTCTGTAACTGTCCTAACGCTATGCTTTTCCTGCCTTCCCCAGAACTTTACTTCAAAGTCATCATTTGGTCCATGACTACTATCGATAACTTCACTGAGCATCTGGTACCTAGACTTTGTGGACACTGGCCCCTGGGAAGCATCATCTAATAGGGGAAGTGCATATCCTTCAAGACCAGCGCATGAACACAGGTATCACAACAGGAGGAAGACATGGGGAGGTGCTGGAGGATGGGACTAAGCTGAAATTCCAGTAAGCTTGAGCAGTGAGCATGAATGCCTCTATTCTAGGCTCCTGGTCCCATCCTGTCTCTATGGGTGCAGCACCCATAGAGATGAGGAAAGAGCAGATGAGGGTCCCCGTGGAAGTTCCCTGACCCTGAAATTGGTGAGTGCTGCACAGGCACCCTCTGTCTCCACCCTCAAATCTCACAAGGTGAGATTGTTATTTGTTTTATAGTTGAAGATCCCAGGACATAAAGCACCTGACACACAGTTCAAACTCCAATCAGCCTGAGTCTAGACCCCAGGCAAGAAAGCGACACACCGTATGGGCCTGCCAGAATTCACATGGCATGTAAAGTATATGAACAAAACGTGGCAGCAAAAGGTGTTCCCGACCAGGCAGGGGAGGCAGGTATGCCCTCACTTGCTCATCTTTGGTATGAGGGGAGCATGAACTCACACCGCTTCCACAGGGACCTGGAGGTGACAGCCTGTGAGAATTAGGGTATGCTTGCAAGAGATAACATGGAGAACTGTTTAAGAAGATGCAGCTGAGGAATTGCTGCTCAGAATTGATGCCTGAATTTCATCTCTAGAAACCACTCCAGAGTTGTCCTCTGACCTCTGCATGTGAGCTGTGCCTTGTGTAAAGCCTCCACATGTCATATACACAGAAACCTAATGGCCAGAGAGAAGGCTGAGGGTGTCATGTGTGAAGCCAATGGGGTTGTGCCCTTGCCAGGGCAGTGCCAGAGAAAACTCACAGAGCAAGGCTTCCTGTTTTTAGTCTCTGCATCTTGATCCGAAGGCGGCAGGAGACAGTGTTTCACGCTGGGCACAGAAGACCTCAAAGCCCACTCCTACAATAACATCCTCCAAAAGACCACACCCACCCCAACACCTACTCTAGCCCTCCTAAATAGTGTCACTCTCTGAGCCATTTAAACACACAAGCCTATGAGGACCATACCTAGTCAAACCACTGCACGAGCTCACATGGAGGGGATCAGGTGTTCCCTCACCTTTCCACCTTGTTTGAGACAAGGTTATTGCAACTCCTTATGTTAGCAGGTTTTGTCTATTAAATTTCCCTTTTCTCACAATGCCTCAGATTATACTCTACACTCTTACACAAGTGATTGTGTATTTGCAGAGATAAACATGGAGATGGAGAACCACACAAACTTCTCTCAATATCCCCTTCAAGGGCACACCCGCAGTGCCCTAACTTGTTCTAAGTGCCACCTCCTAAAGGATCCATTCTTCCAAGTAGTCAGATGCCAGGGACCAAGCTGCCAATACACATGCCTTCAGCATGCATTTAAAATCAGAACAATCTCAGCTATTATTATTCTTAGTTTCCCTATGATGTCAGAAATAATGTAATTCTGTTTTGTTAGTTTTTAATTGTTTTGTTCTTTACAGCATCTCAAATTCCTTTTTTTTTTTTTTTTTTTTTTTTTACCCTGTGTAGCCCTGCCTGTTCTAGACTTGCTCTGTAGACCAGGCTGGCCTTGAACTCACAGATCTGCCTGCCTCTGCCTCCCGAGTGCTGGGACTACAGGTGTGCACCAGCATGCCTGCCTTAAAATATACTTTTAAAAACCACTTTTTTGATAAAGGATTTCCAGGGGTTGAGATACGGCTTAGGAATAGTCTTGCCTGGATTGCCAAGAATGTTTGATGCCAGCAATGAAAAATAAAGGAAAAAAGGATGAAAAGCAAACAAGACTTTCCACATCACAGAATCTCAAAGGGGAAGGTTGTAGGGTAAGATGGCACAGTAAACACAGGCAAAGTTAGGACAGAGATGAAAAGAGCAACAGGAAGTGGACACCTTCAGCACAGAGACACACTCACACCTTTATTACAATTTCCTAGCATTCCCAGTCAGAAATAAAGTCTCTTTGACAACAGGTAAACCTGCATTTAAACTCAGAGCCAACTTCATTTTCAAATGACTGCTACAGGGTTGTGATTTAATCATGATTGTAAAAGTTGTGTAGGCACCTTTAAGAAACTGCTTCTGTCTTCATTCTCAAGGTGTCCATCTCAGTACCTTACTGACAGGAACCAAAATACAGACTGCTAAACAAATGAAAATCTAACTTATGACACAAATATTTAAAAAAGATATCACATGGTTTCCTCATGGAAGTTAATCCTTAAGGATATACAAAGGCGGATAGTAAGAACAAGTCCATTGAAGCTTTATTGAAAATCTTGATTTCAAGTGAAATTGCTTGACACTGTAGGTAAAAATGCAGTCCAATCCTGCCGAAAAACTAACTCCTTTTCCTTGTTTGCTCAAGCCTCCAGGCACCCATCAGATAGCGAAGCCGGATAAAAAGCAGGTCTTTGCCCATCTGTAGCCAGCTCCAAAATGGAACTAACTTAGAACCTGCAATTAAAAATAAATTAAATTAAATTGGGAGAAATGTACAGTAGTTTGAAGCTACAAGCTAAGAGTCAGGCTGGGGCTGGGGCTGAATGGTAGAGTCGTTTCTACATGTGTGCATGCCTGGGCGTGTGCACACGCATGCTCAGGCATGCAGTGGGAGAGGTCGGTGACCTTTGTGAGCATCTAGCACTTCGATTTTATTTAAATCCTTTATATTGTTACTATAAAGCTGAACTGACTCTCCTCCCAACATAAAGCCGAGGCTGTCAGTATGAGGAAGCTCAGGAGAAAGTGTGAACGTTTCAGACTCCATGGGCAAAAGTGTTTGTGCATGGAGAGTATACCAGGAACTGAGTGGCAGCTCACGAAAAGTAGTAATTCCCAGGCTAAAGAGATGGCTCAGAGCTTAAGAGCACTGGCTGCTCTTCTAAAGGTCCTGAGCTCAATTCCCAGGAACCACATGGTGGCTCACAACCATCTAATAATAAGATCTGGTGCCATCTTCTGGTGTGCAGGCATACATGCAGACAGAATACTGTATACATAACAAGTAAATAAATCTTAAAAAAAGAAAAGCAATAACTCCACAGAGTGTTATGAACAGACACAGAGAAGGCCCACAAATGAGCCACTCTCTTTTCTTCTTTCTGACAGGATCACATCTTAGGTAAGCCTTGAACTCAATAGTAGCCCAACCTGGCTCTGAACTTGTGATCCATCTTTGCCTTAATCTTCTGAGGCCTGGAGTCACAGGCCTGCACAACTACACCCAGCAATGATTGCCTCAACAGGGACCAATGAATGGTGCCTGTGTCCAGGTGACAGCTGTCCACGGTTCTGCCTCCTGCTACATGGGAATAGCAGCCTAACAGTTTGTCTGGTCCTCGAGGTCACTGGTGTGGTACCTACCAGTCAGCAAATGCCTACTGGGAGGAAGGCTCAGTACTCAGTCTCTACTCAGAAGCTACCTTTAAAACAGGCCTTTCTTAGTACCCTGAGTACAAACAGCTTTCTTCTAAAAACACGGCCATGAAAGCACTTCAGAGAAATTCTCTACTGTTAATTGGGGACAAACTAGGAAGAACAATAGTTAACAACACAACTACCTCCGAGATGGAAACAAGGCAACAGCACACACCTGGAAATGATCTGACCACCACCCTCTTCAACTGCCCACAAGGTTGTCCTCTTTGATTCTTGAGTAATGGTTTTAAATTTCTATAAATGAGCTACAGTTGGTATAAGCCAGAGACACCTGAACTCAGGCATCACACATGCTACTGCAACAGGAGTCCCAGAGATGGGCTGAAGGCCATAAGCACCGGGAAGGGAGGACTTTGCAAAGGTCTCCAGCTGGTCATGCTAACAGCCTCACATGGTGAATTGTTTGGGTTTATCCCAAGGTAAATGCAGGAGAAATTGAGAGTTTACACTGCACACGGTCAGTGCTGCTTTAACAGAGCTTCACATGTTTATGTTGACCTCACAGGCCTAAAGATTTTAGACCTTTATGTTTCGGAATGTATGTGCAGATGCAGGCAACCCTCCCAAGGCTGAGATGAGGACTGCTGGAGTCTGTGAGTTCAAGACAAGCCTGGGCAATTCAGGGAGAGCACACTCAAAAGCAAGGGCGCAGGCGTGGTTTAGCTCTATGCTGAGGTTTGCTAGCACTCAGCTAGTAACACTGGAGGCCCAGGAAACTTGGGTCAGGAGGAGGCCCACTGAAGACTCAAAGAAGAGTCTGAAGGAAATCTGATGGAACAGAGGGCTCTGTGGGGAGCTGAGGAGGTCCCATGAAGGAGATGGATGAACTCAAGCCAGCAGCCTCAGACAACTGCACTGCCCGGCTAAGGACCAGCTGTAAACAATGCACTCACCCTCGATTTCTGTCCAGTTGACGGCAACTTCTGCTATAGGGATTTGAAGAAACTGTGCTATGTACAACAGTTCTACGTCAAATGCCCTGAAACAGAAAATACGTTGATGTTTATTTCTAAAAGGATAAGTGGGGCCACCAATCAGATGTCCACCAGGGCAGGTTTGGATGCTTACGGGGCAGATGCAATAATTTTATGCAAAATTGAAGGCGAGACCGACAGAGGGGTCTGATCAGAAGCTTCGAGGAGAACAAGATATTCAGTGTGGGCATGTGACATTTAAATGAGAAATGCTGAACCAAAATGCTAAAATGCTAAACCAGAATGCTAAACCAGAAATGCTGAGCCATGGCTCAGAAACCCTCAGATGAAATTGGCCTTGTGTGCTTACACCGATGTTTTTAGTCTCGGCCTCACAGGTCTCTGAAAGGGTACAGAACTGCCAGGTTGCTGAAAGGGCTCCCTAGTCACCTGCTTCTCCACTTTCTCCTGGCAGCTAGGGACTCCTGTTTCTTTCCAGACGTAGGTCCCTGTCCCTTCCTTGAGCTGTCTTGGCCAGGGTCCTAGCAGCTATGCTATTGAAGCTAAGTCTGGAAGGCTCTGGCGGTCACAGGTACCCTCAGGCATTACCCTGTCCCAGCACATATGGGTACAGCCACACCTAACATGGATCCCTTCCTTCACAGGGAACTAGATCTTCATATCCACCATTTTCATCACGAAAGCAAAACCAGGCAGCAAGAGCTGATAAATGGTGCCTCAGCCAGGAGCAGGGATCAGGAATGCTGGGTAAGCCCTAGGGAATGGAGAATGACTAGAATAGGATGCCAACAGACAGCTGCACCTGAAGACCACCTACTTCATACTTCACCTGTTTTAATCTAGGAAATAAAAGATTTTAAAACACACACACACACACACACACACACACACACATACATGATAATTTTTATTTTGAGGCTATAGGTTAAGAGATTTTTTTTGTAGTTTACATGAAATCTGTTTCTAGAGAAGATGCCAGACCCTCAAACACAGATGCACAAAAGTGGTAGAGGCATCAAACAGGAGCACATATTAGGTAATTATGGGGATAACAGTCAGAGCAAGCCACACAGAGCTTGTGATGAACACTCAGGAGACCCTTGCAGCATTATTTCCCAGGTGCTGACAATGTGCCAAGCACCACTGTAGTAGAGTAGATCAGTAGTCAGGTCAGGCAGGATTCCTTCTCTTCCTGAGCCACCCCCGCCCTGCTGAAGCTAGTGATGAAGCCCAGGGCCTCAGGCCTGCAAGGACTTTTCCAACTAAGTGACTTGCCCAGATGTCAGATGTCATTCTTAGTGACATTCCTTCAAGAGCATCTGCTTGAAGAAGAGAAATCAGACTTAAGGAGAGAGAACTGTGGGTACCCACACCCTTTAAATCATATTTTAACATAATTTGCTGGGGGGGGGGGTTATAAGCTCCCAGTGATACAACCCAAACTTAAAACCTAAAAACTCCCAGGATACTTACTATCTCTTTAAGAGAGATGATGATGATGATGATGATGATGATGATGATGATGATGATGATTATTTTAAGAGAGATTCTTAAACAGGCCCAGGAGCAAAAAAACAGCCTATAGTGGGCAGACCTGAGACTTAACATAACAAAACTGGCTGCCTACAGTCTAACAGGAGGGGTATACAAGCGTGGCTTCCTTATACTATGGCTGGCTTAGTGCAACAACAACAGCCATAGGTGGAAAAAAGGAACTGGAGGCAGACAGACCTCTAGACAGAGTTTGACCTAAAACAGCCTCTAAAATAAAACATACCGTGGCAGAGGATGTTTTAATCCCTTTTGGCTTTGTTTTGGTTGTCACCATCATAGACCTGGTTTAATGTTTAATGGTGATGGCTTTTTTCCATGCCTTCGAGAAAATGGGGAAAAAGCCAAGGAATGGACTACTAAGTTACAGACAATAGAAAGGGCACTCTTCCTAATAAAAATTAGATTAATAACAGCTAAAATTCAAAGCTCTCTGGCTGCAAGATATTTGTCAGCTCTTTCTGGGAAGGGTCCACCAATTTACTGTAACAACAACTAAATTCCAAAAAACTGGGCTTTGCTTGTTACAGCCTAAATTGACACAACTGACCCCAAACTTAAATTTTTCTTGTCTCTTTGATTTTTATTTAAAGGCTTTGAGTTACAATGATATTGATTTGAGAAAAAAAATTTGAACAAGTTGGTGAAGGCACATGCCTTTAATCCCAACACAAAGTAAAAAGAAACAGGCAGATCTCTGAATTCCCAATCAGCCTAATTTACATAATAAAATCCAGGATGTTTAGCCACTTGCAGAGATAGTCTAAGATTCAAAATGACAAATTTTTCCTTAAGGTTACTATATAAGTTCTTTTTTTCTTAATAATAGAGGTTATGTCCTTACTAATCTAAAGGTTAAATTCACATCGATTTTAGGTTTATGTAAGGAGAGATGATATCACACTGCTCTAAAAAACAGCCAATCTCAAAAACTGGTACTTCCACAGAACTGGTACAAAAGGGCATTTTGGCTTAAGAAATATGTTCTGTTGGTCAATGTAAGAACTCGAAATTAGGCTAGGAGACAAACATGCAAACTGCATGTCTCCTACATAAAAAAAAAAAAAACCAAAACAAAACAAAAAAAAACTTTTAAATGCTGACTAGATAAAGGTGTTACACTGCTCTGGAAGCCAGTTTATCTTTTCAAATGTGAGACATTTTCACAGGGGGGAGGGCAAATGCCTGATGCCAAAAAGACACAGAGGGCTTACAGGTGGCAAAGTAATGCCAGCCTATGTAAATCCCAGAAACTCAAATACTACAATTCATATGTTTAAAAGGCAGAACCATCCATTCCATATCAAAAAGGGGTGTGGGGGGCAAACCAAAAAAGAGCCACAACCAATGTAAAAATCCAAGTACAACATGCCCAGAATGCTTAAATGCTAAAGGTAAAAAGGAGTTTATATAAAGTTTGGCTATAAAGGCATAACTGCCCATTCTGTATAAAAAAGGGGATAAGACAAAAGTAGCTACAATATATATAAAACCCTAGGCCTAAACCGCTAAACAGGTACAAGATGCCTAAAGTATGCTTAAACTCTAAATTAAAAAGGAGTTTATATAAAGTTGACTTAAAACATGCCTTTTCTATTACTCAAGGCAACTAGCTTGTCTCTCTAACGGGAGGTCTTCTCTCAGGAGACAGGTAGCAGCTTAACCTAATACAACAGGCGCCCAAGAACCCAAAAAAGATATTTTGATCTATACAACCTTGTTTCGATTTCAACATGATAATGACTGTATGTTCAATAATAATGGTTAACTTAAATTGCTGATCCCTGTACATGGGAACAACTCTAAAACTGACTGAGACGTAAAATATGTCTCCAGCCAGAACTTCAACAATACATGGCCAATAAATCCTTGACTACAATACCCTCAAAATTTTTTATGCCATTCTTTTAATTGGCATAAATAAAACTGATTTATAGTTTAGTTTCATCCTGAACATCTCATACATTTATAACTTTAGAACTGTATAATACTTGTGAGAAGTTGTATGTTTGCAAAACAAAAGAACTGGACACCAAAGATGCTGGATCAAACCTGACAGAATTCATCCTTCCAGCATGCTGAGACATTGATATATCTGTTCCAGCATCTAGCATGTCCCAGCATTCGGCTTGTTCCTGCCCAAACTGCTTCAATTGCTGTTTCTCATCAAAGCCTGCTCCCAAGAGAGCTCTGAAGAAAGCTACTAATCTCAATTGGTCCAGCATTTTAGACTGTTCCAAACAGGACTTCTATTAAGCCTAAAATTTCTCAACATTCATAGACTGGACCACAAATGTTAATGCTAGCCTAATTAACCTTTTTTTTTTTTTTCCAATTTCCTTTGAGCTCCCTAACAGTATTTCTGCATGTCCAAAATGTCAGCTAGAAAAAAAATCATGAGAATGATGTCCAATTTCCTTTAAGGGGGGGGGGGGTTGGGTAAGTTTTTGGTTGTTTTCTATAGCTATGAATGTTTATTCTCATTGGGAGATGGTTGTAAATTATTAATGATCTCATTCAGAGAGAGAATAAGGTTAGATGCAGGAATTGCTCTCTTTTCCTTTTCCTTTTTCTCTTATCTTTCTTTCTTAGATAAGGAGAAAAGGAGTTAAAAAGAAAAAAAGAATATCTTATAGGAATAATAAGACAAAGGGTAAATTATTGAATCTACTCAACTTAAGATTTTGTTATTCTCAAACAAGGGTATTTTAAACTCTGCTATTTGCATATTGATGTAAAAATAAGTCTATTTTTAATACATTGGTTAATTTTAGTATATTGATACAAATTCAAGGTTACTTCTAATACTTTTAAACTGCTATTATAAACTGCTTAGGGTATTAGATAATGCAAGTTAATTGCTAGTTAATCAACTCATAGTCATGTCAGACACTAATCTAATTTATCAAAAGACTATACATCCTAGGTTTAACAGATAGATATGATTTTATAGACAGATTGATTACATCAAGATAGGGAAGTCTTAAAAAACTTCAGAGACCTACAGGATATGGCATTTTAAAATGTCTTTATTATTTTAAAGCTTCTTTGACAATAGGGCAAGTCATCTCCTGACAGTACCCGGCCTAACTCAAAGAAGATGATGAGCATTGAAGAACCTCCATATGAAGATGGCTTCAAATATGGCAAACAGGCCAACCAGGTAAAAAGAAAATGCGCTCATTTCATGACAGACAAAATTCTACCAAAAATGGGCAAACTTAAATGCAGGACAAGTCAACTACTGAACTCTGCCAAGACAGGGTAAGTCCTAAATAGTTCCTGCTTCATATATATGTCTGTCAAAATATACTGAGCCAGAAGGCTAAAGATGATGCTCCAGCGTATAGAGAGTTTTAGATGATTATTCAGGCAGCAAACTGCCAATTTTTTTTATTTTTTGGAAGCTGCTTAACATGTACTTCCTATTTACTTCAGTGACTAATTTTATTCCTTCTCAAGTCTCTGGTGGGGTTGAAGACCAAATAGATATATTTCCACAATTAAGCCTAAGTTGTTTATAATTTAAGAAAATGTTTTCATATAGGTAATACCAATAAGGATAAAATTCAAGTATAGAACTCTAAACTTGTCAAGCTAGGATAGATAATCAAATACTTTCTCCTAAGTTGCCCAGCATTGTGCACTAGGTTAATTTAATAAATCCTAGTCTCTGGGTGGTGATTTGGGTATACAGCTGGATTAGGAATAACTGCTGTTTAACTCCAGATAAATCAATAATAAATATTAATATTCAACAACAGCAGTATAACAGTGCATGGCTGGGAGGAAGAGGTGATGCAGGTAGGGGCGCTCCGCAGTGACCTCTAAAGGCCATGGGAAACCACTGCAGGGTGGGAAAGCACAGGGGCCAGTGTAATTTCAGAATGGCCCTGGGCTGAGTGGTGGGAGAGATGGAGAGTGACTAACAGGCTGTGGCCAGCAGGACACATGCAGGGTTGATGTCAGAGCTCATTCAGGAGGCAGAAGTGACAAGTACGTGAGGTAAGGAGGACATGACAGGGAAAGATGAAGACAGTAACCACAGGGAACTCTTTTCAGAAAAGGCTGTGGATAGAGCAGACAGGGCTAGAGCTGAAGGACAGGCAGGGTCAATGGGCTGGTTTTGAAGAGAGATAAGAAAAGGATGGACTCATGAGAGACTAGAAATGGAAAAGGACAAGTTTGAAGATGGCAAAAAAACCAGAGCTCTCAGCAATCAAATGACCAGGCTGAAGAGAGAGACCTACCTCTGGGAAAGGAGTGTGAGAAAGGGGGGAAGGAAGCTTAAGGAGACCCGGTGTATTCTAGCCACATGGCTGATATTGCCTATGCTTTGGTGAACATATAAGGTGTCACTGGCCCAAAATCGGGTACCTGTGAATGCTCCCTGAACTTATGCACTCAATCCTTACAACAGAGATTTTGGTAAGAATAGAGAAAACATTCAAGTAGGGAAAATGCCATTGTTCCTTTCTAGATAAGAGATTTTAAACATCCTAATTGGCGGTTTTCGTTCTATGCTTGTGTCAATCTGGCTCCATCTGGATATTCGTCATGAGACAAAAAGGCTGTATCCCACTGTCTGGATGCCTGCTGGGGAGGATGGCACCATACATTCCACTCAGAAACCTACCATCGTTCAATGTGCAGAGATGAGAAGGTCCGGGCTGCTGCTTCGCGGGTCAGTAATTTGAATCCGCACTGTGTGTCCCTGATTCCTTTGACACAAAGGAACCATACCAGGAAATGGAAGCCGTACATAAGAAGAGTACGGAAGTAAGAACGCTAAAACAAAGGCAAAAGAGAAATTATTTTTCCATTCTGGGAGACACTGAAGACAGCACTTAAACACACTGCTGACTGAGTGCACCTACAGTTTGTATGGCACAGGGCTGAAGGCATTTTGAACAGGATGCTGCTTCAAGAGCAGGGCAGGGAGACGTTAGTGATTCCTGGGCCTGAGTCTGAAAGCACAAGTTCTGGACCTGAGGGAGCCAGCACTGCATTCACCTGTTTGTTTTTGTTTTCAAATTATGATTGAACAAGGTAACAAAAGAACGGTGCCCACCGGAGTTCGATGGCCTTGAATAAATTACAGCAACTCTATCTCCTTAGTTACAGAATTATGTCAAAGCTGTAAGCCAAGTGCTTGGCCAGAGAGTAGTAGGAGCTCAGTAAGAGTTCTATAACGAAGGCTGAGGGCTTTACTCTCGCCACAGCTCCTCACTTGTGGTCAGGCCAGCAGGGAGACCAGAGCCCTCATCTTCTCCCACCTGCAACCCCCAATTATGTTTTGATGCTGGTGGGGGTGGGAAACCTCATCTTAAGACACAATGGAGAGATGGCTCAGAGGTTAAGAGCACTGCCTATTCTTCCAAAGGTCCTGAGTTCAATTCCCAGAAGCACATGGTGGCTCATAACCATCTATGAGATCTGGTGCTTTCTTCTGGTGTGTAGGTTTACATGCAGGCAGAATGCTGTATAAATAATAAATCTTAAACAAAACAAAACAAAACAAAAAAAGACACTCTGGGAAGGTCACATCTGCCTACTTGGTGCCTTCTACATAAAATAAACACCAGGGGATTAAACTCCTAAAAGAGCAATTACACTAAGGAAAGGAACAAACAGAAACTGAATGGTAAGAAAATGAAAATTAAAGGTGAAAACCATGGCCTGCAAACTCCTCTGCTTGAGCAGTTTTCAATGTGATATGTATGGGCATGGGAAAACATTCACGGCTGCTTTTGCTATGTGATAACAGTAATGCCTTATTTTAGAATATAGGTGTTTAATAAAAAGAAGGAGGTATGGTCTCCACTCCAGCAGCTTAATATTTTTGATTTCTAACACATATGAAAGTGTAACAGTGGCTAGAGAGATAGCTCAGCAGTTAAGAGCACTGGCTGCTCTTGCAGAGGACCTGGATTCAGTTCCCAGCACCCACACGATGGCTCACAACCATGTGTAATTCCAGTTCCAGGGCTTCTGGTGCTCTCTTCTGGCCTTCAAAGGTACTTCACACATGTGATGCACATACATGCAGGCTCACAGATACACATAAAATAACAGCAAGAAAAGCATAATAGGGTAGATAAACCAAAAAGATCTGGCTTTAATTTTTAAAACAACTTAAAAATTAGAAGATACCTAAAACATATTGTACGATACACTTCAGTAGGTGAAGCTAACAAATAAATCAGAATCTATTTTTAAAATATTAGGGAAGATGCTGCCTCAGAATTAGTAACAGTATCCCTAAGGTTTATAAAATGCAGGAAGTCAGGAGAAATACAAAGCTTATTGGTAATTTCATTTTGTTAAAAACTAAAGGCATCAAACAGATGCCAAAAGATTCCACCTCTGAATGCTTTAAAATGATGAACTCCACAGGTACCCACAAAGAAACTACAGTATTCTATCCATGCTGCACCTCACCTGTCTTACAGGAGAACAGCAACAGATGGGCTGGTACTGAAGACACAGTGAAACACTCAGAAAAGATGCATCCAGAAATTATTCTGTAAGCTACTCAACTTGCTGTTTGGCACCTTAATTCTTTGATGTTTTTTTTTTTTTTTTCACTGTCCACAGACTGGTCCCCATGGCTTGCATTATGTGCAGTGTCTGAGGAGATGGAGAAGGCCATGCTGTCACTCCCTGACTGGATGCCCCGTGTCTCCTGGAGACAGCTTCCTATAAGGAAGATGGAGGTCTGTAATGGTCTGGATAGAATGCTAGTACAGGGTGGCAGTTACAAGCAGCAGCTCAGTAGGCAAGTCCTGCTTGTCAGGGAGCAGATGAGGCCCCCTCTGTATAATGGGCCAGAAACTCTGATCACTCAGTAGGTTTAGAGGTGAAGAAATGGATACAGAACAAGACACATCAGAAACACGAAGACCTGGGAGAGCCCTGAGTCTCAGCCTCCAGTGCTGGAGCCCCACTGTGCCCAGTGTCAACTAATGCAAGTTCTCTTAAGTAAAAAGAATTTACAGTATTAAAAATTTCCAAAGGGCTGAGGATGCAGCTCGATGGTGGAACACTGGCTTCACGCCTCAGCCCTACAGGAAAACCAAGGGCCAAACCCAAAACATATAGCCACAAGTGGCTCCTGAGGCCACCTCTGTCCTGTGTGGATGATGCCAACGACTGCTGATTCCTTATTTCTCATTCTCTGTTTCCCTTCACCAAACAGATTAGCCCTGCCCCACAGTGCTTAAAATTAAATAATAACAATAATAAAAGATTTACTTTTTGTGTGTGAGTGCTTTGCCTGTATGTGCACCTCATGCATGCTGTTCCAGAAGAAGGCCCTGGGATCTCCTGGAACTGGAGTTATGGATGGTTTGAACTACTGTGTGGGAGGTGGGAACCCAGGTCCTCTGCAAGAGCAGCCAGTGCTTGTAACCACATAACCATCTCTCTAGCCCCATGCTTCATATTTTTAAAAAGAAAAAAGTTTGCCCACAAGTTATTTAAATAAATGTCAGCCTATTTTCTTTTGCAAAGCAAACTCTGTTCTTTTAAAGAGGTAAGTATGCTGTGTTCACGGCATCATCCTCTCGTCATACAACATAATGCTTCACAGGTATACCCATGTCAGGCTGTATTATCAGTCCACTAGCTGGGACTCTGTTACATTTCCCATCCCTGAATTCAACAACTCCTAAGCCTCCTGGACACATACTTTCCCCTCTCTTTCTCCCTTGTATAAATATGTCAATGAAAGTCAAGTTTTCTATATTAAATGTCTCTAATAGGGATATTCTCCGTGGTTAACAGATTAACCTTCTCACACACTAATGAGAACTGGATCGTATATCGGATACTAAGTGGATACTAAAAGTGTTTATTTTGGAGCTGGAGAAATGGCTCAGTGGTGACACTGGCTGTTCTTGCAGAGGTCCTGGGTTCGGTTCCCAGTACCCACAAACACCAGTAACTCCAGCTCCAGGGATCCAGTTGCTCTCTTCTGCAAGAGCCAGTCATGAGTGCAGGCAGAACATTCAGACATAAAAATAAAAAATATTATATATATATATATATATATAAAGTGTATCTCTGAAAAATGGAGCATATAGGGAAGTGGTTCTCAATCTGTGGGTCATGACCCCTTTGGGAGCCAAAAGACCCTTTCACAGGGGTCGCATATCAGACCCTGTATATCACATATTTACATTACTATAACCATAGCAAAGTTACAGTTATGAAGTAGCAATGAAGTAGTTGTATGGTTGGGGGTCATTACAATATGAGGAACCATACTGAAGGTTCACAGCGTTAGGAAGATGGAGAACCATTGACCAGGACTCATGTTGGAGTCCCCTTACAGCTGTAGGAGCTGTCTCTTTGCTTCCCTTCAACAAATGAGTTTGGTCTCAACTCCTGTGACGGTTTACGACTTTGCTGTCAGTGTCTTGGATGGTTTAGACTCCTCTCCTACCACATTTCAGAATCATGGAGGGGAGACATTCCATCTTTTATTTGAACAGCTCTTGAATTAAGGTAGACAAAAGTGGCCTGGAACCTACCCCAAAGACAGGACAGTGGTCTCATCCTAGAGTCTGATTCAGAGCAACAGACTAGCCTCCCTAGGTAATCCTGGCCACACACTGACAATGGTTACTCTTTCCTTTCACTAATGGGCCACCGTGAACCTGACAGGTACTGGCCCTGGCACTCAACACCTCCAATTAAAGTGAAAAACCCGACTGTGACTTCAAACACCACAGACAACTCCTCACTGAACTGTTTTGTCCTTCAAGCTGCTCTGACTTTAGTATGATCTACAAGAAAGCAGATCCCCAGTCTTTGGTGACCTGTATTTATCTAAGGGGATGATAGTCATGACCCTGACAATCTTCAGTGGAGTGTTTTCCTCAGAGACATGAAACAAGAAGTATTTATAATCTAAACAAAACTCAAAATATACTCTGAATAGAACATATCATAAAAGCTCAGGACTAGGAATGTTCCAGAATTTGTACTTTTTTCTGACTTTGGAATTTTTTTATACACACACACACACACACACACACACACAGAGAGAGAGAGAGAGAGAGAGAGAAAGAGAGAGAGAGAGAGACACTCCCACAACTTTAGAAAATAAATATTTTTCTGTTAAAAAAAAAAAGCAATGTTTAGAAAGTCTGCCTTGACTGAACTGTCTTAAAAACATCTCTAAGAGCGCTTCCATCCTGAGGCAAAGTTTCTACCTGTCTGTGCACACTTAAAGAAACCAACTCTGAAATATGCTAATCTTTCATAAACTCCAATGAAGCTGAAGGGAAGCTTATTTTTGAGAGAAAACATAGGAGCCCATTTCTTGTCAGATGTGTATGTAAAAAGGGTTTATAGGTTGATGCGATTCTGTCCATGGCAGCTCAGGAAAGCCTCACCTGGGCAATTGATTCTTTCTCCAGATGAGCTCGGGACCCACATGCGATGGCCATTTGTTCCTGAGGAAAACGGAACACCATTTTTCTCTTTAAGTATCACATATAACTACACTCATTTCAATGTAAATGTCTCATCTTTAGAAATACTTTGAAAAAATAAGATTATATTTGTGAAGTTTTTTGAGGTTTCAGAATATGCGTGGCTTGGAGACAGTCAAACTTCATTAAGAGGATGCTGATGAATGCAGTAGTACACACCTTCAGTCCCAGCCCTTAAGGGGCAGAGGCAGGTGGGTCTTTGTGAGCTCAACGCCAGCATGCTGTACAGTGAGACCCTGTCTCTACACACACACACAAAGTTAAACATTAGGTAAATTCTGACTTTGTTTTTGAGCCCGGTGCTCTTGGCCACCACTCTCAGCGTGTTCTTATACTCACAGGCCACGGCTGTAGGTCGCTCAGCCCCTTTTCTAGTTTCTCAACATCTGGGAACTTTGTGGCTCCATCAGCATCTGCCATGAGGATCTTCTCTCCTCGAGAACTGAAGACACCCTGTGTTCAAAATTTCCAGGCGAAAGAAAAGTTGCTTAGAATTACGTTCAGAATCAATGGCATTTCAGTTCATTCTATTTTAGGATACCCAAGATGACAGAAGGAGGCCAAAGTTTATTGCTAAGGGGATAGGATATCCCCACATATATCTACTGTCATTTCATTGTTCCTAAGTTTTACACTCCTCCTAAGCCCGACAACCATTACACTGGTGTTCTATGTGCCCCATAGTGTAGTTGTTGTTCACGTGACTCCACAGGCAACTTGAGTAACACATAAAAGAGCCTGTCCTCAGACAAACTGCACAGAAACAGTACACATGCTTTGGGTGTGGCTGTGCACATCCGTAATCCCCACTCAGGAGGTAGAAGCAGGAGGATTTGAGTCTGAAGCATCATGTTCTTGTGAATGCAGCATAAGAAGTTAGTTAACTTTATTTTGGTGCCTTAAGGATTTTAATTTAGTTCATGGACTTCAGGCCCAGCACTTCATTCTGTCTGTTCTGGTATCTGACACTTGATAAAATTGGTTTCACTCGTTACTGCAAACCATACTGTATGTGTGCATGTCTCACAGGGAATTAATTGCTTATGAACTCCCAAGTTCTGTGCTGTGCCGGAGAGAGGGACATGGCAGCTGTGACAGCATCAGCACTGACCACAGTCTTTTACATGTGCACAGACCCCTTTATCACCGACCCTCTGCGAGAGCCAGCCTCCCCCTCGTGTTCCTCCATCTCCCTCTGAGCTGCCTCAACTGACTCGTGGCATCTCCCAGGCATTCTCCCCTTTTCTGTCTTATCTCTACCACAGTGCAAATGAAGCAAGCTTCATAAATATTACACTGGTTGATGGCTCATGCCTTTTTTCAAGTCTTATTCTTGGTTAAGTCTAAAGATACTGAGGGAAGCCTAGGGAGGGCAAGAAGGGACAGTGGAGGGTGACTGTGACTCATTTATATTATCTCCATATATGAAAACGTGCAAGGAAACATATTATTTTCTACAACTTATGCTATTCATTTTTTTAAAGATTTAATTTTTATATGTATGAGTGCTTTGTCTACATACATGTATTCGCACCATGTGCATACAGTGCCTGAAGAGGCCAGAAAAGAGTACTCAATCCCCTGGTCCTGCAATTACCACATGGATGCTGGGAACTGAACCTGGGTCCTCAGCAAGAACAGTCAGTGCTCTTATCTAATGGGCTATCTTTCCAGGCCCAGTGTTGTATTTAAATAAAAATTAGGCAGATAGATAGATAGATAGATAGATAGATAGATAGATAGATAGATAGATAGAAAGAAAGATGGATGGATGAGAGGGTGGGTGGATGGACAGGTAGATACTCCCTGGCCAAAGCCCATGATTTGAACTCACATGCCCTTATTATCCTCCTGTGGCAAACACTGTCAGTCACCTACCCAAGGACCTGATGTCACAAAATCACGGCTTCCTCCTTTCAGAAAGAACCCTGATTTTGTCAAGAATGAAAATAAAATACATTATGAACAGGTATGGTGACACAAACTTGCATCTCAGCACTTCGGAGGCTGAGACAGAAGGATTGCTCTGAGTTCAAGGCCAGCCTGGGTTTCAGAGGCAGACACTATCTAAACAACAACAACAACAAAACAGGGAGGAAAAAAGAAAAGCCAACAATAAGAAAACAATCTTCATTCTCTCTAGGAACGGGGATGGCCTTGTGATACTTTCCTGGGCCCTGAGATGTGAGCAAGTTCCCAGGAGGAGTTTGGGAAGGTACATTATTTCCTCATTCTGCATGGCATGTGCAGGTGAAAGGAAACATTCTAAGAGTCACTTTGGGTTCCTAAGGAAAAGGTGAAAGGTGAGTGTCAGGCCCTCTGCTGACAACGGAGGGCTAAACAACAGTCCTCCTGCTTGCCTCTAGGCTTCCTTTTCAAGGAAGATAAACCACTAGGTCATTTCAGGAGTGTTCGCTGCATATTCTTTTCCTACATTGGGTTCTTTGGTCCTTCCTGAAAGTTGAACTTATGTTCTATCTGACAGGCCTTTACTGAAAACAACTGCTCTGGCCTAGGCCTTGTGGGTACCTTACCCGAGCCCCTCCCCAGTCTCCTGGCCTTCCCTCCACTTGTGCACATGCCTGTCTTTCCTGTTACACAGTGCTGCATCAGCAGACCCAGGATTCACCTAGGTTCAGGCTATCAGGCTCTGCAGTTCCTTCCCATGGAAAAGCTCAACACACAAGAACATGTTCTCCTATTGTAAGCAACACTGCCATAGCCACAGCAAAGGCAACATGAAATTCAACACAAACGTTTTCTGAGTCATCTGGAATATTAAAGACAGGGCGTGATGCTTAGATTTTATTAAATCAAACATATAGTTATTAAAGGTATTGGTAATTTGAAAATATTGCTATTTTGTGTGGCATTCTAGGCTGAAAATGGTTATTAAAATACCTTTTTTTTTTTAAACAAAAATCAGAATTATTACCATCCTAACGGCACCACCTTTCCCTCGGTTCTGCACCAGTGTTATCACTCGTACTTTGTCACTTCCGTATTTCTGACAGTATTTTAAAGCGACCTGGGGATGACATAAAAGTCAGAATACAGTTAGCTTGGAGAACTGATGTCAAAGATATGAGTTACCGTGATGTGATCGGAACATGTTACATGCATGTACTAAAATACAATGCTGTGCCCCACAAACATGTGCAACCCCTACCTTGTCAGTTAAGACACGCACAGCCAGTATACACAGAAAGGTGGGCAATGACAGATCCCACAAGTCACACAGACTGGATTTTCCCTCGGGGCCAGACACCACACCGGGTCACACTTCTTGTGACCAGAGTCTTAATGGGAATCACGTAGGTCAGGGTGCTCTTTGGCATATCCCTGGTCGGGGAGGGGAGGCTGTCTGTTAACTGACAAGGTAAGACCCAGCCCACTGTGGGTGGCACCATTCTCTAGGCCAGGCCCTGAATGCTGTATGACTGAAGAAAGTTAGCTAGCAGGCAGATATTACAGATACGTTTGTTTCTCCCTGTCCTTGACTGTGGATACAATGTGACCAGCTGACTTCTGCCCCTGTGATCTCCCTGCAGCAATGAACTGGAACCTGTGAGGCAAATAAACCTCTTCTCCCCAAAGCTGCTTTTTCAGTCAGGGCATTTTACTAGCAAGAGAAGTGAAACTAGGACAGAAAGTTACAATCACAGCTTTGGGTTCCTCTAACAGGTGGACATCAGCCACATGTGCTGGAGGACTCCAAGCTATCAAACAGCCATTCCAAAAGCACACACATTTACCTTTGAAGTCTGATCTTCACTGCCGTCGTCAACTACTATCACCTCATAAGTGAACGTGGGGTCATGTTTCTGCAAGAAGCAAAAACTACGAATCATAATTGGGCAAGATTATGATAGAGATTAATAAAGTCGTAAGTAGTTTTAATTGTCTTTTCTATTTTTGTGTGCATGTTTAACATGTATGGTAAGGGAGGACAACGGCGCTGCACATATGGAAGTCAGAGGACAACTTGTGGGGCACTGTTTCTCGGGAAAGGCTGTCCTCCAACCTCTGTAATGTGTACCAGCTTGTACACTGTGGGTCACAGGGAATCAACTCATATGGTCAGGCTGGGCATCAGGGCCCTTGGCAGCCTATGAAACTGTAACTTAAAATTATTATTATTGTATGTGCGCATGCACGAATGCACATTCATGTTGGCTCTCTCCTTCCACTGCGGGTTCTCAGGAATTGAACACGGGTCATCATCCATGCACAGCAAGCTCCTTTACCCGCTGAGACATCCTGAGAGCCCCAACAAAACTGCAATTTAGGCAGCAGGTGACAAATACGAACAGTCGTACATGAACCAAGTGAAATCAACAGGCTCAGAAAAAGCAGGACAGACGATGGGCAGAATAGAAGCTGGGGCCCCACGGACACCGAGAGCTGTGTGCAGTGCCCTCGCCTGCCCTGTATCACACTTGTGGAAGCAGCAGTGTGCACCTGTGACGCTAAGGCAGGCTGGGAAGGAGACATGCATGAGAAAGAAGTCCGTGAGGTCTGAGGAAGATTGGACATGGCTCCATCACTCCACAGCCTTACAGGAGCCCCGTTCACTTTACACTAAAGTTCTCAGTCTGTAATAGTCCCTCTTGGCCTTAAAACCCAAAGCCAAGTAAATCAAAATAAGGGATTTTCTTGACAGAGAGACAGTAAGAGGCCCAGCTATAAAGCCCATTTCATCTTTAACTGTCCCTAGACATCTCCAGAGAGAGAGAGAGAGATGTGAATTACTATGCTTTTGAGTATAAAAAGTCCAAGTATTTAAAAATATATATACACATCTTTGAGGACTGAACATATAGCCCCTGTAGTATGTCCACCTAGCATGACTGAATGCCCGCATGTATGTTCCGATGTAAGTAAACCCAATAATGGTGACTGTTTTTGAGGATAGGTTGTACTCAATTATTTTACTTTTGTACAACTAATTTATAATTTAAAAATTTTTTAAGACTGCAATTTTGCATCACTTAGTGTCAATTCATCCGAGAAACAAAGATCAACAGACTATGCTAGGAAGACCCCAATAGATCTCTTTCTACCTAACTATACACACACACACGCGCACACACACACACACACACACACACCTACCTCTTTTTAAGGAAATCACAGACGTCTGCACATGTAATCTTTGATATATCACCAAGCAAGAGAGAATGAGAAGTTGGGGGAGGGTACATGAGAGACATGCCAGCTTCCTACACGCTGGGCCTGCTTAGTGACAGCCAGCAGCAGGCTGAGCCACAAGCGGCCCAGAGATGAGAACTGCCTCCCATGATGCCTCCCATGATGTACCCAGCTTGGGGTCCACGATTGGTCACCTGGTTTAGTTTTATCTAGACACGTGACATTGAAAGAGAAGTGTGATACCTGTCTCTTTTCTAGGTAGTTCAGGGCTTCATCCATCATCACGGGCACTAAAGGGAAAACATATTTTATAGATTGCTTTTGACAATGGGTTAGCTAGCCCCAGCACACTCCATGTACATAGGGAACATGTACCCGGCATCCTCCAAGCCCCAGTGGGTGTCACCCAGGCCATTCTCACCAGGACTGTCTCCTACCCTGATCCTATTTCTTACCTCTCTAGAAAATGTCAACCCTGCCCTCTCACTTTCCCCCTTCCCAATCATAGCTCCAACTCCTCAGGGAGAGCAAGCACTGCAAGCTTCCTCTTCTTCTCAAATGACCCACTAGCAAACAAACTCAAATAGAACTTACACCGTTTTTCTTCGTTATAAGAAGGCACGACAACAGACAACTGTTTTGTAGGTGAGTCCCAGATGCTGGGTAAAGCTTCCTTCCGACCTTTGGCATTGAGGAAGAATTTCTCTTCTTCGTGTTGGTGACATGGTGGCATTTTTGTAGCCGTTATAAAGGCGACAATAGAAACCTAAAGGCAAACAAGAAAGACAGGTTACACAGATTTACCATTTGTTGTTCTAAAACATTATCAGTTGTGTTTTTTATTGGGAGGAAGGAGAAAACGTAGTCTCAAGTTTGACTCTTTAACAGTGTTCTGGAGGTGGTTCTGCTGTTACATGGCAGCCAGCCCCCTAAACAGCCCCCTATGACCTGACGACTGTCCTTGTCCCCATTAGTAACGTGCTGCTGCTTTAGGAGGCTTTGTTTCTACCTCTCACTCTTCACTCGGGTCTCTGTTACGCCAGATTCTAAAGTCCATATGGGAACTCCAGCCTACTCTTACAAATGGACAGCAGAGTACCATTTCCTTTCCGGAGCGCGTATGTGAGAGGACAAATCCATTCAACAGCTGTAACATGGAAGGACCAAACAGACTCAGCCCATGAAGGAAAGGTTCCTTGGAGCCCATGGCAGACACCATAATGCTTAGGAATGTATTCTGATACTTATCCGTGATTTGAATTGAGAATACAACATCTTCTAGAGTAACGTATAAGACTTGTAGGCTCTTGGGGCTGGAGAGATGGTTCAGCAGTTAAGAGTACCAGCTGCTCTGGCAAGGAACCCAGGTTTAGTTCCCAGCATCTACGTGACTGCTTGCAACCATCCACAACTCTAATTCTAAGGATCTGGCACCCTTTTCTGGCCCCTGAGGACATGAGACATGCACAGATTGCACACACATTCAAACAAAGTACTCATACACACAAAATAAAAAATGAGTGTGAGCACAGGGACAGCAGCCACAACGATGGTTAAGAGTCCTCCTATGAGGACTCAGGAGTTGAGAACACTGGCTGCTCTTGCAGAGGACCCAGTTCAGTTTCCAGCTCCCATGTAGTAGTTCACAACTAACTGACTGCTTCAAAGTACAGCTCTAGGGGAACCATGTCTCTGGCACATACCCGAATGCCCACGTATACGTATACACACACACACACACACACACACACACACACACACACACACACACA